CTCGATCGAATTCCCACCGGCCCACCCAACCACCTGTCTCTTATACACATCTAGATGTGTATAAGAGACAGGGTTAGGGTTTAGGGTTGGGAACAGCAAAAAAGTACACATTTTTCTCGAGCGAAAATGGTTTGTGGGTATTTTCAACGTTTTGCTGCAAAAAAAGGAAAGAAAAAAAAGAAAAGGGGGAACTGCAAAAAAGCACACGTATTTTTTTCTCGACCGAAACGGAGAAGTGCTGTGGTGGCGTTCTATTGCGTGCAGAGATGTGAAGAATGGTCCCTCAGGGACGACCTGGTGTCTTTTTTTTTTTTTACGCTTATTGAATTTTCTTTGTCTTTTTTTTTGTTTTTTTTTAGGGGGGGTGGTGGCGGGGTTGAGTTGCATTTGCACGTTTCCCACTCCTGAATCTTCTGAATCTTTTGAATTTTTGTCGACATCTTCCTTTTTCTATTTGATCTTCAAAAGTGCATTTCTCCTTGTTTTTTTTTTGTTTTTTTTTCCAGAATATGAGTGCATTTAAAATGCGCTACTGTCCTTCGGGACATCCGTTAAAATTGGAACGATACAGAGACGATTGATTAGCATGGCCCCTGCGCAAGGATGACACGCATAAATCGAGAAATGGTCCAAATTAAAAAAAAAATGCGCTACTTGTTCCCGGAAGGGGAAAAAAAAAAAAAGTGCTACTTGTGATGAAAAAATATCGGTGGAAAAGAGAAAGGGTAAAGTTTGACAGTAGAAAAAAAAGACCAATTCCTGATCTCGCTCTTGTTCTGCGAACTTGGCCGAAAACCCAAACAGAGGGCCTTACTCCACCAGTTGCCAAATGTGCAAAAATGAGAATGAATCTTCCGCTAGAACATGGGAAGATACACGGCCATATTTTATCCTTTGGTCATGTGGTGAGTGGTGGAGAGTGGCCCATAAAAGAGCATATTCCCGTCAAGTGTAGTAAGTACTATTTATTTTTTTTTACTCTTTTTCAATATATATAAATATATGTAAATATATACTCCTCTTTTCTTTGCCTCTTTGCCTTTTGGCTGTGTGCAAGTGGGTCGATATGACACACGGGGGTGGGGGCAGCCGCCGCTCAACCTACATCCACGTGGGCGGCTTTGTACGCAAGAGGTTCTGAACAGGGGGAGTTGTAAGGAAGAAGATGAAAAATTGAATTCAGTTTTTCCTGTTTTTTTTTCTTTTTTCCTTTTTGTTCGCATTTGCGCTCTGATATTGTTTGTTTTTTTCGCTTCTGCGCTCTGATATCTCTGTGACGATATATATATATATATGAAACTCCGACGAAACAGTTTGTCACAGCCCCTCGTTTGTTGTCCTCTTCTCCCTCTCTGCCTACGGTTTACCGGGCAGTTCTATTTGACGATATATTATGTAATATATATATTGTTATATAGATATATATTGTTATTTTCGCAATTGATTTTAAATTTATTTTTCCGTTGCTCTGCAACATCCTCCAAAAGTAACCGCGCGCAAAAAGAAAAAAAAAAAAGAAGAAGTAACCGCGCCATAATATTGATTAAGAAAAAAACGGAATGGCCGTGTGCATAAAGTATTACCATAGGGCTCTCTCCACTTCCTACCACATGCACAAAAGACAAAAAATATGGCGATGTATATTCCCTTGTTCTAACGCAACATTCATTTTCCTTTTGCACGTTTGGTGAGTTGTGGAGCGAGGGCCATAGCCTCTGCGTACGGATACGTGGCCCCCAAAAAACAAATAACTTCTGGAAAAAATTCTAAAAAAGGGACGTTACAATCAAGGCATCATTACTAGCTGACAAAGTGGTGGTGGACATAAAAGATTATACAGAAAATTCGATTTCAGAAAATTAATACTCTTTAATCCCAGAAATATAAAATCGCTTTGAAATTTTCGAATGCCTTTGTGTGGGTTTCATGGTGCTGAAATGAAGAAATGAAGGACCTCGCCGCATGAACGTGAATGTTTGGTAACTATCTGTCCAAATACACCCAAAAAAAAAAATCAATGAATTTGTTACGTGTAATCCCAAAAATACAAAATCATTTCGAAAATTTTGAACACCTTTGTGGGTTTCATGTCCTGAAATGAAGGACCTCACTGCATCGACAACCAAGAAGAGCACGGGGCCTTGCTCTCCTACTCTCGACATGCACAAAAGCCAAAACTCATGGCGGTGTATCTTTGCATGTTCTAGCGATAGATTCACTCTCGTTTTGCACATGTCGAGAGTAGTGGAGCAAGGTTGCAGGTGAGAGAGAGAGAGAGAGAGAGAGAGAGCATATGCGCTGACCTAAAAAAGTGACCTAAAAAAGAAGGGAAAAAAAAGGATTCTGTTCGAACGTTTTTGAAATTTGAACGCATATGCATTGTATTCGAATACCGAGTGCATGCCTTTGTATTTGAAGTGCCTGTCTATTCGAAAAGAAGGCACAAACTTTCGAAAACTCGAATACAACACATATGCGTTATGTTTGGGGGAAGAAGGTAGTAGGGGGCTCTTTGGGCAAAATTGCAAAATTAGCCACGGTTTGGCAGTTACACTTTGCCCTCCGCCCCATAGAATTCACAATGGGTGTGGCAAATGTCAGCTGCCTGCAAGGC